AATTCTATAATAGATTACTCTAATAGAACAGAGGATCAATGGCCCAGATTAAGTAGAGTTCTATTTCCCTTACTTCATTATTATCGTGTCGTTTTTGTATTAATTTTCTAAACTAAATTTGACACAAAAGGATTTTGAACACGTGAAGTTGGTTTTTTTTTCATTAGCTAAATGGTAATGTCAACATAGTAGGATAAGCCAGATACAAATGATGGTTTGTTAAACAAATCTAGCGAAACTGCAAAACTAAAGTATTGGTTTTTAATATAATACACCACATAAAAGGTGTTGAACAAGAACATTTGAAAATGCCACTCAACAAAATAATTACAATAAGAAAATTGATCTCATAGCTCACAAAAATTGGTAGTCCAGAATAAATAAAAGCTAATCAAATTATGTATCACTAAAGTGGTTCATCTGTGACAGCTATCGAGTTGCGTATTGTTTGACTAGAAATATTTAATATAGCCTCAGAGTCAAAACATTTTTTTCAAATTCTCTGCATTAAACAATTTTGAGAAAAAGATTTAAAAAATTATTTTCAGGGATTTCAAGGTTTAAAACTTATTTAGTAAATGCTATAACACATTTAAAAAAAATTCTTTACATAATTTTCCATATTTAATTTAGATGTGTGTAGTAAACGTTGAAACTTATTTTTTATGTCTTTACAGAGATCTTCACATTAAAGATGTGAAGTTAACGTTGAAAATGATTTTTTAAAAATATCTTTACAGAAATATCCAGTTTTAAGATGTGTGCATTGAATGTTGAAACAGATTTTTAAACAATTTTTTACAGAACTCTCCAGGTTTAAAATGTGTAGGGTCTGGTGGGAACAAAAAGCTGTGATCATATTTGCACTTTCTGTTTTCACATTCGTTGCCTTCAGTTTTGAATGGTAGGTTAAATTTTCCCATGTTAGATTAAATATTATATATATATATATATATATATATATATATATATATATATATATATATATATATATATATATATTCCAATGATGATTGAAGATTTATAATAGGAATAGTATAATTATTTGTGTTACGGCTGTAATCAACACCAAAATAAAACTCATAATTTAAGCTATTTTATAGTCATTTTCTTTAACAGCTACTTGGGTAGGGGCCAATTTGTAAATCGATTTTAGTTTTCAATAAATTATCAATTTTAAAACCTTCGAATTTGAATACTATTTTAGATTATTTTTTATTTAATCTTTTTTATTTTCGGCAGGCTGCTGACACTCAATTCTATTGAGACAAGATTCAAACAGGATCCGATTCTTCTTCATGGGGATATGGATGTCCATTACGTCCAGGCCTCTGTCCCTGAGTTCTGGAGTGATCACCCTTTAGACATTTATGAAGCTTTCGCCCAACATTCCTTCAAGACTCTGGACACATGTAACAACGTTTGTCCTCGTGGTGCACCAGTGTGCACAGCTAAAACAAACCAAGAGTTTAGAGACCTCATACAGGAAGATTTAATACAACAGAAGCCTTTTCTCGACAGAGGGCAGTATGTTTACAGCTGGGAGAAAAATTATTTGAGTTACCCGCCCCTGATTGACTCCAAGACGCTGCCTAGTCTGACGTTGTCAAGGGTGACGGTGAAGAACTTCACAAAGAGCGTGGTGACGTGTCACTTGTTCGAGACGATACAGGGTCGGCTGGATGTCGTAAATGGCTACGGGTGTCAGAGAACTAAGGGAGACGATGTAGTCAGGGTTTGGATGAAGGGAGACAATAACACAGACTATGCCTCTGTTGGTGACGTCACAGACCTGCGCAATGGAAGCTATTTGTTTTCAGTCAAATGTTTATGGCCTGGATTTTCCACCGTAAATATGTTTTTTAAATTTAAAAAAAAAAACATTTTTTACTAGACTTTCACTACTTGCTTTCTTTTCATTCATTTTGGCTTAAGACACAATCAACACTTTGACAAAGACAGAGGCGTAGCGATGGGGGGGGGGCGACAAAAAAAAGTGTTTGTAAAAACAAATTAAAATGTCATATTAGCTGCATTTTTGCAGTTTGATGGGAGGGGTGCAAATCGAAAGTTTGAACGGGGGGGGGGGGGGTGCAAATCGAAAGTTTGGGGGGAGGGGGGGGGTTCAAATAGAAAAGTTGAGGAAGGTTGCAAATCGAAAGTTTGAGGGGGGGTTGCAAATCGAAAGTTTGCTCCCGGGGGGGGGGGCGCCAAATTGAAAGTTTGTCCCCGGGCGCCGGGAAGGGTCGCTACGCCTACAAAGAACTTGTTATGTGGATATTTAATTTTATCTCTAACTATAACATTCGCCTCATTTTGAAAAAGTAAAAAAAATGAATTCCCCTTTTAAATTAAAGCTCCAAAGGCAAGTGAAGTAGAGTTCAACTGTTTCTCTGTCCTATGAAATCGCAAGAACATTACTATGCCCAGCCGCCTTTATTTTTATGAACGTGAGTCAGGTTCCCCTAAGAGCTAGGCGGACTTTAGACGTCTTACGATTTGAACCCAGATTTGAACTCGAAGATCTCAATTCTAACGATCTTTTAAATAACATGTATATCCCCGCCTTCTTCCTCTTTGACTGTGGATTACATTAAACACCTAAATGATTTTGTTTCTTACTGACAGCTTATCCCGCCCAACTTTCATTCTAGTGTTTCCCTTCGTATACATGGAGTTTAATCCTACAGCTCAACGTCGCCGTGTCCTACCCACGGGAGTTATAAGGATCGTCATCCACCAGATTCACGTCGGCGCCTCTATGTATATGACGGGACGGTTCGTGAAGGGAGGTGTCAAAGAGGTAGTTTCATGTGATCAAAACATGGCTAATTAACCGTTACATTAATTATATAACACACACGTATAAACATACGCATATATATATATATATATATATATATATATACATATATAAGACAAGTTACTGCTTATTATTGTTCACTCATGAGACCTCTGACACATTTTAGCGACCAAGTTCATCCATAAACTCTACCGCATTGGCCGGTGACCTTTCGCGGTGGTTCGAACTCGGGACATTTCGGTTTAGCAACCATTAGCTTTACCGACTCGACCAAACAACAAAAGCTAGTTTATTAGTTTATTTTCAGTAGTTTAAAATTGCCGTAGGGGTAGGGTGAATGCAAGATAAAGGAAAGAGTTCAGTGAATCTTTAATATCTATCGACCATTTAAATATCTTGTAATTGTCACTCCTCGAGAAAGTTTTACACGCTGTTGTAGACTAAGTCTACACGTATTTAAGTTTACAGAGCAAAGAATATTTGGATTCGCGTTGTTATGCAAGTTTTTTTCTGGCATATAAAATAGAACAAAAGCAAAGCAATGTGCAGTTTGTGAAAAAAAAATCTAAAAACAAAAAAAAAAAAAAAAAGATTAAAAGCGCTGATATAAAAAAAGGACCTTATATTAAGTTCTGTGCAAATAGACCAATGCACTGCCAACAAAGAGGAGTTAAGCGTTTGCATGAATCTTGTGACATAGAGCAAATAAAATGTAGAATCCGGATCGTATAATCTTCTGCAGGCCTGAATTATTGATTTAGGAAGAAGGGAGCTTTTGATCTTTTGATATTGGAATGCTCAGACGTAAATGACTCAACGCAAACATGAAACGACGTTTACAGTAGGTTTTACAACAAGGCCAATACCCGTGTTTTATATCATAGCAAAGTTCTTGGTGAAACGTCGACAAATATCCATTAAGTAGATGACTAATTTAAAATTCTTTAGTCAGTGTTAGAAATATTTTTTCTCAACGTTTTAAGGTTTCATTGACAAAACTTCTCTTGAGAAATTTCGTCATTGAAATGAGTCCTCAAAATATTTTTTCTTTGTTGTTGTCATTGAGATATCTGTTAATCAGATAATTTAGTCTGCATCTATGTTCTAATAATGTTCTGGGATAATTTGAGCAACCTGTGCTTCACCTGTCACCAGGAAACAATATGTTTTAACACACCAAATATCCCGGGGTGGGAGTGCATATGTAACTTCAGCACTCTGGGCTACGACAGTTTTTACTGTGGTAGACCCAGAGACTCAAGGTAGGTCAGTGTTATTTCAAGTTGGATTTTTGCTTTTATTATCAATTATACAAACTATTCAATTATTTCATACATTAATATCGAAACAGGAGTTTAATTAATATATGTATGTGTGTATTTGTGTGTGTGTGAATGTGTGTGTGTGTGAAATTTTAATCTTGCAGGTTAACGTGCAATGACTGGGTTGACGGAGACAGGCTACACAATCCTCCACCTCATGACGTCACACCGGCTGAGCGTGATTTACTTAAATCAATAAGAAGGTATTGAACACACACGCACGCACATACACACAACAGTGGTGGTATGGGAACGTAAGAATGACTATAGAATTCCGATAAATATTAATTTCCTTTATTCTATAATTATACCACTACTTAAAATGCCAAGAGGCAGCTACTCAAAAGCAAGTTAACAGAAACATTCATTGTTTAAATTGCGATGAGACAATGGTTCTTGGTTGAGTGGTTGACTGAATAATAATCTAACTACAGGTGATCAATGACCTTAAATAATAAAGAGGATACAAATATTGCAATGGATCTGATTCTGCTTTTAATTGCAGCAAACCCTCACAGAAAGTTATACAGCATGACATAAAGATATTGACTGAAAACATAGGTATTGTATAGAGCCTAGTGTTAGTTTATTAGTGTCTGTAAGTGTTAATTGGTCGGTGTCAATAAACTCCCAAACTTGTCGGTGGAAATGAACTTGTAGGTGTTTAAATTCCACATGGAGTTAAAATATGCTTTGTGCTTAAAATTCCTAAGTGAAGGTCTTTAGCCTGCAAATTTTTTTTATCACCGCTCAAAAAAGTATAGGTAAGATTGCTCTTTAAACATAGAGATCTATTGGTCAGCTTAAGTAAAATTGACCTGTTTCTTCGGCTCAGCATATGACTGGATAGTGTGGTCATCAGAGCTTTTTACAAAATGGACACAGAGACATCCTACAGTCACAATGACGAACCGAGATCTATCGAGACCCTTGATGCCTTCCCCGCAAAAAGTATAGGTTAACTTGATTTTATGATTATTTTATACCTCTCTTTATATCACACAAGTCAGAAATCACATAAACAAAACATTAGTTTTAAATGTTAGAAAACTATCTAAGTAAAAATAAGCATGCAACCGTTTCAGTTGGCAAACATCACACTAAAATTAAACATGAAGGCTTATTGTGTTAGCCAGTAATCACGAAATCCACAAACTAGTTAAAGCCTATTTATGTAACAATATGTATTGTATGTTTTCTGTGTTGCAATATGCCATCTACAATGAGCCTTGTCTAACCCAGAATGTATCTCAAATGGCATATGTGCAAGTAGGGACGAAATCTACATATTTCTTTGTTGTACATCAGTCATGGCATTGGAAGTTAGATTATGTGTCATAGTTATATAAAAATATATAGTCTCATCAATTCGTTTCAGGGAACCTTCCTGACCTACCACCTTGTAGAAAGTCCAATAAACGAATCACGTGGATAGAAAAATACCCCAAAGGTTTGTGGACACCCGGCAACATCTGGACGTCCCTTGTCTGCAAGACCGAAGACGTCATCACTTCGCGCTGGACACTCAACTGTCTCAGAGACACAAACGTCTGGATATTCGGGGATTCCAACGCCAGACTCGCCTATTTCACCCTGAACTATCTAACACAGTGTATCAAAAGTGAAGGCGGGTGGCCGCTGAAAGGACGGTGCTACGTTCCTGAATACAACATCACCATCAATCTCATTCCACACGAGCCACCGAGGTATTCGCTATTTAGGCGTTCAGACAACTTCACGGGAGTTCCTGATTTTATACAGACTCTACCCGCTAACGAGAAACATGTTCTAATCATCCATTACTATCTCCACTTTACCCCAGCTCATCTCAGCGTGTTGTCGTTACGCATGCGCAAACTACGGACTGCATTGGAAGTATTGTTTGCGAAGAACCCGAATATTCTTGTTGGGTTGAGAGGACCCCATATAGTTTCCTTGTATTACCCAAACCACGCCGTAGGGGGTGATCCCTTAGGACCCCAGTTCTTGGAGCTGATAAGGAAACGGTTGAGGGGTTTGGAGGACAAGGTCGTGTTTTTAGACCTGTGGGAGATGTCTATTGGTATAGAGAACTTGGACTATCATCCTCCACAATACTTGAGCCGTGAGATGATCAAATTCTTTCTATCGTTCCAGTGCTAATATTGATTAGATTTTGGTTAGAAATAGTATCTATTTATTAGAGATCAGTATTACTTGAGACTTATGATTACATTATAACATTGTTTTAACAAATATTTTGCCTATTTGCGCATTCTTTATAATATATTACAATTCAAACGATACTCTTTTATATAGTTATATAATATATTTTATATCTAGTTATTAAAACAACTAAAATTTATTAAAAATAATACTACTACCCCCTTTTTTAAATATTTGAGTAGAATTAATGTAAGCATAGTTTTTAATAAACACAAAAAGAAGTTTTGTACATGAATAAAATAACGTATACAAATCAGGCTGCATTAATTTTATTTTAATCTTACGGTATGTGCGTGTATTGTTGTTTTATAATTAATTTAAAACATAATTTTAGAAATTTTTTATTACTTATTTATTTGTAAAATTGATATTAGCTTAAATTCATTGACACATTCTGTGATGCAACAGTATATCAATATAAATGAAGGTCGGTTAATTATTTTCTTATTTATATATTAAAATAAATATGACAAAATGGAATTACCTCATATTTTCAATTCACTTTGTTACACTTTTTTAAAAGAATGATAAATTGTTCTTATTTGTATTATTGCTTTAGTTGCTTTGTTAAAATGATAGCTTTATTTGTATTATAACCTACTAACGCAAAGAGCGCTAAGGTTTCAAATTAGGACCAATCGAATACTTTTTGCACCATTGTTGAATTTTTTTCTGAGTTGATTTTCTGCGTTGATTTTCTGCTTGCGTGCGTCTGATATTGTTAGTTTGTGGTATTTATTTAAGTTCAGATTTACTACATACCTTACAGCTTCATTGATGTAGCTATGTAGATCAAGAATAAAAGAATAGCTTATTTGGTGCTCATTAGGATCCGAGATTTGCAGTCTTGTTGAAATCATTGTTTTCTATTTTACTAATAAATATGACACGTATTTATTTACGAAAACAATGTATAAAATGAAAGCTCAATGTAAACTAGAATGTTGCTATAAGTTGAGCGGAATTTTCAAAAATTAAGATATTGAAATATTCATCATCATCTTTTCTCTTTCGTGACCAAGAAACATGCGGCAGATGAATTAGAGTTAATCGGTTTCGGAGACCTCGACATATGAAGGGATAGTGTGGTCAGCACTAAGCTAAGGTGCTTACGTGAGTTAGGTACCTATCAGACTCTGGGACGTTCTACCTACTTGAATACGGTTTCAAAGATAAAGATTAAAAATAAGTAGTATATTGTATATTAATAATATAATTTGCATTTGCAAATTAAATAATACTTCGTATTTTAGATTTTTTTTTAAACTTATAATGAAATGCGTTTTTACCTTGCGCAATCCAGTACAAAACCACTAAATGTTAAGGGAGTTATGCTGACACGCATTCAGAATAAGAGAAAAGAAGTGGAGTTTGATTAGTCATAACTTTAGAAAAGTAGTTAACAATACCACCAGTCAGAAGCGAAAGTGAAACAACGGGGAAGGGGGGGGGGGGGGTATTATGTCATATATGAGATTGTACGAGGGTTACATACGACTAGATTGTCATGGGTTGAGTTTTAATAATAAATACATAAAAACGTTTATAATTACAAGCTTTTAAAAATGCACTAAAAAGAAGAAAATAATACAATTTTTATTAAATATAAAATAATTTTTTAAATATAATAAATCTCCGGTTACTTTAAATATTTAAAACATTACATTCTTTAAATATATTAATACACTTCTATTTATATCACTATAATAAATATTATCAGAATAATGTTAAATTAGAATTACTAATTAGAAATATGAGAGGAATTATTAAATATATATGATAATTATTTTAAAGAAATTAATATGCAAGTAAAATGCTAGACTTATTTACTTCAAATATCGAGTTCAGTAAATACGTTTTTTAATTAAACCGGCAATGTGACGTTAATTAATGATAGCACACTAATTGCTGTTTACGTATTAATATAGGTACAAAAATGTCATGTGTTTGTTTGTACACTAAGAATCAACAGTGTAAAGATGATAATCAGTTTATTGAAACATGATTTTTTTTTCAATTTTCAATTAGATTTCACGGCGTTGATATTGCATAGTATCAAGAAATGTTCCACATAGTGGTTTTCAATTGTTAAAACCAAATATATGTAAAAAAAATGAAACACTAAAATTTTATTTAGAAATTTCATAAATGAGACGAATGCAGTGTAATCAAATATATAAAAAATTTAATAGACCACTCTAGCTAAATGGTTAATTAATTTATACAACACACTACTTGGAACCTAGAGCTTAGAGACGTTGTGGTAAAAAGTAGAGCGTGCGTCTGCTAAATCGAAAGTCTGGAGTTCGATTCCCTGGTTAGAGTCGTAGCACGTCCCTGAGTCCACCCAGCTATAATGGGTACCTGACCTACGTTAGGGAAAGTTAAGGCGGCTGGTCATAGCGCTGACCACACAATCCCTTCATATTCCGAGGCCACGGAGACAGTTGAACTCTCCTTGACCTTTGGATTTGCTATAAGGCAGCTGTTGGTTGATTTTGGAGTTATTTATCCTAGAAGATTTGCAGTTTCCTGCTTATTGATTTTTCTCGCGAATATTTGCGATATTTGCGATGCAATAAATTTTCATTTGAACTTTTTTTTTATAAAGAACTCCTCTTTAATGTTGTATATTTTTAATTAGATTTTTACTATCTTTAGCCTGTCTAAAATCGTATTACCTGTTATAAATTTAAACAATTTTTTGGGTAGAATGTTATCTTTATTTTATAACCCATTCTACACTAACAAATACTTTAAAATAAATTGTTAACTAATGATTAATACAGTTCACGTTGTTCGTTGATTTCCGGGGTAACTGTACCTCAACCAGATAAAATAACAAACACAATCAAACATCACAAGACGTGTAAAAACAAAACAAAGTAGGTTTTGTAATATATTGAGAATTGTGAAGTCAAGGGAACTCACTCTTCTTGTATTAGTATTATATTTATAATGTTGTTTTTGAGTGATGCCCTTGTATTATTGTCTAGTACTTCCTGTTCCGGTTTCCATCATGGTGGCTGAGGCCCAATAAAGTTCTATATACAAACAGCATGGTTTCTATTGTCAGTGTTTCAATCTACCTCAGGTTTTTCTTCAGACCAAGACCTTAGTAGCTTAAACTGAATTAATAAAACATATAAACACATATTTTGTTAACTTTTTTATTTCTTTACAACAATTATACGACAATGAACATACAATAATGGCATGACATTACTCATCAAGAATAAACAAATCCCCTGCGATAAATTTGTTCACAGGCTGCGAAAAAAAATTGATATAAAGTAATTAGACTATTTAAAATTTTGTGTCACTAGGATGACCGGAGATCAAAATATTTATCATGAATCACTAGGACGAAATCCCTAGGGAGCGCGGAAGTCTCGAGAGCAATATAGTAGTAGCATACTAGATCAGAAGTTTTCGGGCCGGTAGTACTTTGTAAATTTAACTCTTTAATAAAAAAAAGACCAAAACATGTATTTCAATGAATATAATTTCTTATTTTTAAATATTTAAAACAAATATTCAGTAATAACAATTTTTGCTTTTCTTTCTTTAAACCTGAAAGGGGAAAGAGCATTGTTGCTTCTCGATTGGGGGGGGGGGGGGGGAGTCGATGGTATGACGTCACGTGTCAATGGATTTTTTATTAAGGGATTGTTTTTGTTTTTTTAACAACGAGGCAGACATATCCTGGACAATGATTTTAAATGTATATGACTGGGCCGGTCATTATGTTAAACCGTAACGGTACCTCGATGCGTATGAATATATCAAATAAGTGATTAACGATAAAGCACAATGGTATTGAAAGCAAACTTATATGATAAAGGATTTTACACCTACACAAAAACAACACCTACACAAAGCTACCTCAGTTATTTTATAACAAATATCTTTTAGTGAAAATACTTAACTTAATGCGCAAATTTCTAACATTTTTTTTTTTGTAAAAAAATAGTTGCTTTAATAGTAAATTAGTTTTGCTTTGAAACGAATTATTCAGAAATTTTAATATAATATTTAGCACATAGGCTTTTTCATACTAAAGCTAGACCCAAAATGTTGAAAGCTGAAATAATTTACTATCTAGGTTTAAATAAATCAGAGAAAACATAAATACAAGTGTTTCCAACATTAAGATTTGATTGAAACGAACATAATATATCAGAAATGTGCTGATAGCGAGCCTACATTTGTAACTGTAGACCACTACACATTATATGTTCAATATAAAATTAAAAGCATTACTAAGATGGAAATCAAATCACGAATTGATATTTTGTTTAGACGCGATTGATTAAAATATTGAAAACACCTGTGACTTGCGGGGTCATACAGTACAGGTTGAGTAACGTAGGTGTAGTTCTCTACACACGTAAACAAGCCACCAAACATGTAACAAAAGGAAAAATTACCAAACTGCACCCCAGCATGTAGCGAGTAATTCAACACGGTGTATTGTACTATGTCAATTTTTTTATATCTCTTCAAAATGTTGAAAGAGAAATGATTATATTCTTGGTGAATCATCTCACGGGATTTGATCCTGAACTCTCTGTAAGCGGCTAAGTAAACAGCCAACGCCAATATCCTCTCTTCAACGACATCTTTTAGATCTGCATAAATCATCATTTGACCAGCAGCCATTGTCATGTTTCTTCTTTCATTAAAAATAAATTCTGTCTGTTCGATTGTTTCAACATCCAGGCACAAAGGGTCCTTCGCCAAGCAAGCCAACAACACGGGTAGCTGAAGTAGTTCGGTCGCAGAGAAATTAAAATCGTCTTCTTGTAGAGCAATACTCAGGGGCCTTAACTTTTTACATCTTCCGTCTGCCCGTAGAGAGTTATCTTGCATACAGCTCAGAACCTTGCAGGTGTTATTCTCAAAAATATTGTCAAGATTTTCTAGTTGTCCTATGT